CCGTGCCGTATAGCGTGAATAACCCTGTAGAATATGACAATGATGATGAATGATTATAATTTCCTTACGCGATTTAGCCATTCAAGGTAGATATCTATATCTGGAAAAAGGAGAAATAATTCAGTGGTGAACTAATAAATGGGACACCACAGCATCCTTCTTCAATTTATTCACATGGGATGTGGATAATTTGCGACCCGCAACCAACAACGGCTTACACTTTGAATCCGCCTGGGCCAAGATTCTAATAAATATGGATAGGGACGGCTGGGATGCGTATTTCCTGATTATTGCCTCTGGAGAGTTGAGAATGTGGAAAATTGCAATAAATTATCCGTTTAAGTGGCTCAAACTTTTTAAACATATTTTCGGATAATTTAATGCCAAATTGGTATTCGCAACTTGGCCTTTCGATATATTTAGGGTGCAAATAGCCTCGACAGTGCAAATGTATTTACCGCTATAAGTAATAATCGCTAATAAAATTTTATGAACATATCGGAACAATTTTTTTAATATAGCCATTCCTCACATTAAGCAGAAATCATTGCTAATTATTGAAAGGTTTTGATTAATTCCCATAATACTGTTCCTATAACATGCAGGGCTCAGACAGATAGCTCTAATTGACAAACATTAGGATCCTAATTGGGAAACATGTGTTTGCTGTGTTAACATTGCTTAATTAGGCCGGCGTGACTGGACAAAAGCCGTACACGTGATGAATCGGAACCAATAATTACATAAGATCAAAAACCTTAAATGGCAAAAACGAAAATTTGATGTCATGCACCGATTTAAATCTTTTGTGTTTATACTTACAATTAATTGTGTGTATTCCTATCGCCATTTTTTTGAAGATATTTGAACAAATGTTAATGAAAATGGCAAGAATAAAATTAGTAACGCCAAGCTGGCATTACAAAAGTGATAACAAAAATTATTAACATCAAAAACTGGCACTTAATAAAAATTGGCATTAAATATATAGACATTTAATACCTTTAATGGTAAAAAAAAGTTTCAAAAATGTTGCTTTGAATATTTATATTTTTATATCCTCATTTTTGTAATCGAAATTCACGACTTAATAATAACTTACACTTAAATATATAAAATTATCCAATACATTTAAAATCTATACAATGAAAAGAAATATTGCACACAATTCGAATCGCAGTAGAACTAAACTCGTTTTTGGAGAACTCGAACTTCCCCTGCTCACTATTATTATTAATATTGTCGTTATAAAATTATGTTTATTGGTTTAATTTCGGAAGTTTATGTTCGCAGATTCACTTGAGTATTTCCATTAACTTCGGTCGGAGACCGATTTCGAAGTTTTATATAACTGCTTTATTAGATGCCTGCGCTTTCTAATGCTTTGAATTAATGTGTTTTAGATCGTAAAAACATTACCAGAAAGCGGCTTTGTTTGCCTCTGTCTTAGCCGGTTATGATTATAGCGCGACTGTTTCCAGTTTTCGCAAAAAATACAAATTTATTAACTTGAATATCAAGAGGAGGAATTTGGATATTAAAATGTTGAAATATATAGCGAAAAATGGCTGCAAACGAAAAATTAATCAAAGCTAGATACATGGATCAGTAACGAAGAGCAGAAAGTAGCTAAACAAACTGCTTGATTCAGTTTTACTTATCCCCATTTTCAGAATAAGAGTTTGATGTTTTTATTATCGCCGAGCAGTCGTTCGACTTGGTTTTACAGGCGCAATGTTTCCGAAGATCTCAAAACAAAGATTTACAACTTCGCTAATCCGTTTATGGTTAACTCGGGAGACTCTGGCTCGGAAATTATGACATTAAGTCTTTGGAAGTTAGTTAAAATGCTATTTGGTTTACAAACAGTTTTACATTCAAGCAAATGTCTCAACTTTGTCGCTTAAGGAAATAGAATAAACATGCGTTTATGGATTTCATACAAAGCAGTTTTCTCCAAAGTGTTTAGAATTTAGTTTTTAAATTCCACTTTATATCTTTAAAGAAAATAAGGTAAATAATTAACAGCATTTTGGGCGTAAAATGAACAGAACGGTTCAGTATCCAGAAATGTTTTGGATATTTGGCGATTTCAAACGACCAAAATAATAAAATTATAAGGTAGTTTCCAAAATTTGTATCTTGATGCTTAGAACAATTAGAGAAAGGGAATAAACTGCAAGTAAATTGATTTCGCTGATTTACATTGAACTTTTTACAATTGATAATGATTCAAGAATCAGTTGAAAAAACAAACATAAAAATATTTAATGATCTCAAAAAATTGCAACCAAAATTAATTACTAACCTTAAATAATGAAGAAAAATAGGCAACTGCTTTCATTCCATTTTTGCCGTTATCAAAGTTTCATTGTGAAATTGAGCTCTATGGAGTCACCTAAAATAGCATTAAATGTATGCAAATTTGCAACTAACGTTTCGAGCATATTAATTCATTTTTTGAACTAACTTTGAACTCATTTTTTATTTTAATTTTGAAAGAGCAAACGCAAAACCGTTGAGAGTTTAGTACCTGTTGTACAGTATGTTTAGAAGCTTTTAGATTTATTTCTTCAGTATACGATTCGATTAAAACTTTAACTTTTGACCTACGAAGAGTTATACACGTCATTAGAATATAAACATTTTGAACGTAACTAAAAGCGTTTGGAATATTTTAACCAAACGTTTTAAAATTTGGAAACTTTGTGGCAAATATTTTGTCTAAAATTTTTTTTACAATTTGTACAACATTATACAATTGTACAATTTTCAAAAATCTCAGTAGGAGCGATTGTGTGCTATACAGCAAGTTTCATTGACTGAAAACATCATAATTTAAAATGGTTTTTTACAATTTTTCAGCCTTAAAATATATTCATTGTTTGCTTTAACAGCTATTTAGATGAAAATCTGTACTGTACTAAAATTTACATTGACAAAAGATCTTCACATATTTTTTCAACAATTGTGGTTTATAATCCGAGAAAGTAGAATTTTTTATTTTAGCATTTTATATGGTTAGTTGTTCGTATATTTAATTTTTCATTTCCATATTCTACGAAATTATTAGGTTCCGTTCAATTCGGCGGAAATGCATTGAAAACAATATTGAGAGAGCAGTATTTTGCAAATGAGGTCTTAGCATTTTTTAGTCTCGTGAGAACAGATTTATGATTTCTCTCTCTGCACAATTTTCAATTAAAAAATATAAATCTCAATAGGAACAATTGTGTGCTATAGAGCACGATTGATTGACTAAAATCATTATGAATTTCGATGTTTTTTACTGTTTTTGAACCTTAAAATAAATATGTGCATAGTGTGCTTCGAATTTTAAAAGTTTGAGTTTTTCCTGGATATTTAGATGGAATCCTGTAATGTACTAAAATTGACGTTGACCTAAAATCATCAGATATTTATTTCACCAATAAATTTCGCTTTATTATACGAGCAAGCAGAATTTTTTATTTTGGCATTCCATATCGTTAGTTGTTCGTATAATTTATTTCTAATTTTTATATTCGACGGAATTTTTATGTTGCGTTTTCTTCAACCTAAATATCAGAATAATATTTTGAGAGCACTATTTCCCAAATGAAGTCCTGTTGGTCATTCCGATTTTTCAAAGTGTTATTGTTCCAAATAACCGGAACGTTTTTGTACGCTTGTATTTTAATTGATTTTACGTTTACTTTTTTACAAAAGTTATATCAATGAAAATTCAGTACTAAGATTATATTTGCTTCAAGCATTTTTCAAATAAAAAACAATTTGCTCCTTATACTAAATTTCTTTGCCAACAACCAAAAATCATGAAAATCAAAATCTCACAAAATCTCTAAAATTGTACAGTCTTGAACTCGTCGTAAATAACTGATTCTCGGAAAAAGTTAAATAATTTTTAGTAAGAAAAATTAATGATGAAAACAGTTAGAAAAACAACTAGCTGGTCTTAATTTTACAATACTTGTTTCATTACATGTCAGTTGACGTTGGCAATGTGCAAGATTTTTATGCACTTTTATACATTTAACCCAATTTAATGTTGAAAACATCCTTTTGCATATTTCCAAAATATAAATTATTCAATTTCGACGTGTATCCTGTATCGTACAATTTCACCTACAGTGGTATTTTCTCCAACACAAAGAATAAGACGATAAAAGTATCACGTTTATCTTAAATTAGATGAGATTCTTGAAAGTAACTGAAAATCAACACCTACGCGGAACCGTGCATCCAGTGTATTTGCAGAAGTTAATTTAAGGTAAATAGCTTAAGGCGAAATGCCGTGAACAACAAAGCAAAAAAGAAAACACATCTCGTTAGTCTACTAGATGGGTTAAGACTATCCTGAAGCTAATATGTGTAAAGGGCGTCATATGGAAACATCAGAATATTTATAACGGCCTGGCAATTAAAATTTAAATTTTCAGATGAGGCTTTCTCACGCACATTATTAGTGTACAACTGAAACTGAAATTATTGAATCGACTCCTCAATAGGAAAATGCATGTGATGGCATGGACTATTTAAGAATCCACTTGAACATTTTTTTTATTCAGACAAAGAAAATCCCCTAACTGGATAATTCTAATCGGCATTTAGGGAAATTTAAATTGCCACTTATCAAAATCCACTTAGAGTAAATTTTTAAAGATTAATTCTGGAAACGAGCAAACCGAATAATCTCAGATTAAAGCAGTTTTTTAAGCGGAATAACAGAACCGTATTTAGTTTTCGTTTTGACAAAACAATGTTGTTTAACCGGAAGACATTTAATTAAGAATAATCACTTGACTGAAATAGGACAAATTTTTATAGCACAGCTACAAAGTAAAAATATTTCAAAAAATAGTACATTTGCTTGAGCTTGAGCATTTAAAATAACACTCTACAAGTGTATTTAGATATAGACATTGTAGTCGCAAATTTGTTTAAATTCAAAGTTCATCTCTGTATCTACAAAGAGATTATCTGTAAAACCGTTGTCGTAAGAAATAAAGAACTTGGCACATATTTTCCGCTCAATTTGCCGCCGGCTGATCTTCTTAACGACTTTAAGGGACTTTTTTAAATGTATCAGGCCTCTTTTAAGATCTGGTTAACTACGTGAGCGGCTTTTGAATCCCCTAAGTTAATTTTTCATATATTTACCTGACCTCCGGCATTCCAGTAATTTTATAAGGTTTTTCTGATTTAGAGCGCATATTTCAAAGCAGCAGGAGAATGTTATAACTCGTTTCATGTCGTTTTTAGTTTACTATTGTATTAACTTTCTTATTTAGAATGTATTTTTATGTTACAGCCGTTTATTTTTATGAATTTTAAAAAGTAGGAAACATGAGAAACGAGGCGAAAAGAGTTTAAGAATACAAATATCTCAAGACATTTTAGGCAAATGATAGGGTCAAGAAGGTCTGGTTCTGGTTTACATTTCTTTAGTATTCTCGTAATTTTGCTGCTGACCATGCATTGGATATTTAAGTGGCACTTTCTGCAGACACCCATTTACATTTCTCAAAAATTACGAGACAAGCAGTCAGTGTGATAAAATAGCCAATGGAAAAGTTGGAAAAAATCAGCAACTAATTATGGTTAATCTTTTTTGAGTGAATCAATCGCCTCCTGCATGTGAAAAATTTCGACTTAATAATGACTTTCTGAACTTTAACCAAGCAAGTACTGTTCATGTTTATACACAATTTATTAGGTCAATATCATTTGCCTCAAAAATTACCCTCTATGCCAGACGAAATAAATTTTCTTAAAATGCTTAATGCCCGCCGACCAATTTGCATATTAGTCGAGTCCTGGGCAATCTCGTGCAACACAACTTTGTTTTTAATTGTTCCACTTCTTCGCCCCTCAGTGCCCGTTTTCATGAGTTTGGCGACAATACAGCCAGCTAAAAATCGACTAGACATTTGTCGGACACGCAAACTAGAACTTACTTACGGGTGCAGTTTATGTGCTAAATTTTTTGCAAGACGTGCATATCCCCATGAGCTAGTGTGTGCTTCAGAACACATTTGATTATCTAACTAGAAAATGTATTAACGTATGCATGAATTGAATTAAATTTACATGAAAACATGTTGTGTAGGGCTCTATTACTTTTTATTTGTGTTGCTTTTATTGGACAGATTGACGTGAAGTTTATATTATTTGTTTCAGGAGAAACGGAGAAACGGGGAGACCGAAATCGGTAGGAATTAAGCAATACAGAAAGCTCACCCAAAACTGGGATATCTCGATATAATAATGTTTTAAAATGCGCCCGTTCCGATATTTTTAAACCCAATTCATGGAGGATGCACATGAATTAAAGTGGAACATTGTCATTTATTGTGGATGAATTTCGCATGTTCTTTTATAATTTATCGCAGGAATCTTGTCCAACGATCAGCAGTTGCGAACAGTGTAAATCAAAAGACGTTTCACTTAGGAAAAACAGCTCCCTCAAAAGCAGAGGTTTGAAGTAAACTTTTTCAGAAATTGAGATTTTGGTGCCATCTGCATAAGCACCTTAACATAATCGATTTCCTGTAAAGAACTTAGATAGAGCGCTTTGTAAAACTCAAAATAAAAAAAGTAAAAACGATAAGGATAATTTGCAAAAGAACGTAAAAATATTACTGCTTTTAACAATGGATGGAAACAGAATAAGTATAGTAGCGCAAAGAATACTTCAAGTGATATAATCTAGCAAAAAAGCACAGAACGACAGTAATTTAGATGACATTAGAGCTGAAAGTAAATAAAGCTTAAAAACGAATTGAATAGCAGATTTACCAGATGAAGAAGTTGAAAAGAATGGAGATAACAACTTAATAAATAAGAAGATTTTAAACCACCGTATAAAAATTTCAAAAGCCAGAAGAACTACTGACTAAGTAAAGGTAACGATTGGGATTATAATAGTACCAAGAAGAAAACAGAAAAAGGAGACATATTTGCAAAAAATGCAGGAGTTCAAAACAAAAGAATCCTTCGATTGTTATAAAATAAATGAATGACATTTCCAAGACAAATTAATTTGTCGTGGAAATAAAGACTCATACATATTTTAGGAACAACGACGGTAACAGTGAATATTGCACTGAAAAGCTTGACAAGCAAAAAATATTACAGTATAAGCCGAAGGCTTCTGGCAATTTTTTTTAATGGAAAAAAAGCCGACAGAGTTTTGACTTTGAAAAACCATGTTGTGTAACACACTAGGAATGTCCACTGCGCCTTGCGTTCAGGTGCTAGCTGTTCCTAATGAAATAATCCAAAATAATAAAAAACCTTAAGCTGAAGAACCTGAAGAATTTTTAATTAAAGTTAAAACGAGGAGTAAATCCCGATAAGGCACTCTATTGAAGTACAAATTTCTGATAAAGTTATAAACACGCCAGCGAATTATTTTTTAATTACCTTAGTATTTGAGAGATTTATCTAATGTAAATGTTATTGGTTTAATAAGTTTTGGACGTAAGATAGACAGTCGTACTGTTCAGAATTTAAGGTGACCTAAAAAAATAGTTTTAACTGGTACCGGAACATGCTAAAAAATTGGAAACGTTGTCTATGAGATTGAGAAAAATAAAAAAATTACGGAAATGACCTCCAAGTCTATACAAAAATAAATCTAAAATAAAGCAAGAAAAATGTTATCATCTGCTGAAAAAATGCTATCAATCATTCAAAAACAGTATTGAGCACGCTCACCATACATTTTATGACTTCCTTGAGCATCTTGCTGAATTAACACATATTCTTTGAGCTTCACTTTATATTATGATAAATACGGATAAAATAGTAAATAAATGGTTAGAAACATGTAAGGAAATAGAAAAAGACAAGGGCAAAACATATTGGCAAAAAATTAAGAAATTAGCACAATAGAAGAAAACTAACACTACTGACACAATTGACGAAAACGGAATA